ATCAACGATTTGTCCGCAATTCTCAAGGGATCTGAGCCGCTAGTCTGTAGAATACATACATTAACATCTCCGTGCAAGATCAATTAGACCAATCACTTACCTTTGTACACAGATGTATAGCACTAACACCATTTCCTCTAACGTGAAACTAAACAACCACTACTTAATAGCAATTCAATCATGGGCGTATGTTACGAAAGACCATTTATTACCATAACTGTTTGTTGTGCAAAACGATGTTTCTAACCAAGGCGTCATTTAGATTGGAAACATGACCGGGGTTGGTGTCATTGAGTAGCAAGATCATGAATACGTTCATTTCATGACGTCATTTAGCTAATCAAGCGATCCGCAAGGTTCCATTGATATTTTTTTCCATTTTCTGTGAGAAAAGGTTTAAATGTTCTGTTCCGTTTTGTCAATGGATGTCTTATTCCCTGATCTTTCCGTCTACGTCATATGTCAATATTCCACGTCATATGTCAATTTTCTACGTCATATGTATGTCTATCTTTTGCTTTTGTGTTTTCTCGGGTTCCTTTTTTATCGTTGTGTGTTTGCACTTTGATTTGTCTTTTCATTTTTTTTATTTTGTTCAACATTTTATTGTGTCTTGTGTTGAATCCTCTGCCGTACAATGTACATACTGAACCTTCTAAGAATTGGCTGATCATCACTGATACACTATTCCCTCAACGATTATTGGGGATATATAGAATTATGTTAGAATTCAAAGAACAACCGTCATGCTCACCTTTGCTGAAACTCGTTGGAACATTTTCTCCAATTTGCTTGTGAATTAGCCGAGAACCGTCATAACATATCATCAATAATGACGAGCGTTTCTTCCCGAGAGGTTGAAAAACACTACATGAAAGCGATTCTGTTTCCTCGGAGATATACTTAATTTGTTAGAAAACGAAGAGGGTTTTACTATCATCAGCGAACAGCTATTTGTGTAGCATATTTACACCACATGACGTCAGGCGATATACAGCAATACATCTAAATATAAAACAAACAAATACAGTTTCTACGCGTTTTACTTGTTTTAAGCGTGCGCTTTTATATGGTCGCCAGTCAGGCACATTGCAAAACAGATACATGACGAGTTCATTTTAGAAAATGAATGTATGCATACGGAGTCTTTTGCATTGAAAGCTGTTGTGCTTTCTACATTTTAACTGTATGATGTCGTTTCATCGTTACATAATCTGCTTTCATCATTGTACATTATTATCAGTATATGACGAACTTTCATTAGTATAGGGTTTGACATAAACATTTTATCATGAACTTTCATAATTATAGGGGCTGACATAAACATCATATGATGAACTTGCATTAGTATAGGGTTTGAAATAAACATTTTATCAGGAACTTTCATTATTATAGGGGCTGACATAAACATTTATCATGAACTTTCATTATTATAAGGGCTGACATAAACATTTTATCATGAACTCTCATTATTATAGGGGCTGATATAAACATCATATGATGAATTTTCATTATCATAGGGTTTGATAAAAACATTTTATCAGGAACTTTCATTATTATAGGGGGTGACATAAACATCATATGATGAACTTGCATTAATATAGGGGCTGACATAAACATTATATGATGAACTTTCATTATTATAAGGTTTGACATAAACATTTTATCATGAACTCTCATTATTATAGGGGCTGACATAAACATCATATGATGAACTTTCATTATTATAGGGGCTGACATAAACATTATATCATGAACTTTCATTATTATAGGGGCTGACATAAACATTTTATCCTGAACTTTCATTATTATAGGGGCTGACATAAGCATTATATGATGAACTTTCATTATTAAAGATGCTGATATAAATATCATATGATGAACTTTCATTATTATAGGGGCTGACATAAACAATATATCATGAACTGTCATTATTATAGGGGCTGACATAAACATTTTCTCATGAACTTTTATTATTATAGGGGCTGACATAAGCATTATATGATGAACTTTCATTATTAAAGATGCTAATATAAATATCATATGATGAACTTTCATTATTATAGGGGCTGACATAAGCATTATATGATGAACTTTCATTATTATAGATGCTGATATAAATATCATATGATGAACTTTTATTAGTATAGGGTTTGACATAAACATTTTATCATGAACTTTCATTGTTATAGGGACTGACATACACATTATATGATTAACTTTCCTTATATTAGGGGTTGACATAACCATTATATGGTGTGATATTTGCGTCAGTTCTGATCACATGAGCGCTCTATTCTAGCATATCATATGATAATGTAATGGTAATACAGTACCATCATATATGGTCTAGCAATCTTTACATGTCGATTTATTACAAGGACAAAACACATCATTCAATGACAAAGACAAAATCACATCATATAAAGGGAAATAACATCATGTACATAGTAATACTATAAGCACGTTATAGAACGACAATCATATTATGATAATGTACATCATGTTATGGCAGAAAGAGAAGATAAATGTGAAATAACAGAGATTGCTCGTGTGTCAATGGGGCAGTGGAACTCTTTCTGATTTTGCAATGTCCCTTATCATCAAAGAAAGGGGGATACCCAATTCTGTGTGAGGGCCGACACTAGTCGCCTCCTTACTTTTAGTGAACGACAAGCAGCGCTTTGCTTTCCACGAACCAAATTGTCTACACATCAGGTAATTATAAGGAATGAAAAGGACTTCTCTAGTGGTTATTCAATATAATTTTATGTTTTCCATTATCTAATGGAAATTCACTATCATTTCATGTTCTCCATTATCTAGTGGATATTCACCATGATTTCATGTTCTCCATTATCTAGTGGATATACTACGATTTCATGTTCGGCCTCAAGCTTTATCATTCGTTCGAACCGACTCTTGCATCGAAAATAAAATCGGGAAAATCGAAACTATACACATAATCACCAAAGTATGAAGCAATGTAGCTACTTATAGGAACAAAAATTAAGAATCCAGCTAAACGTTTCTTATTGACATGCTACTTTTCGTTTACCTGCACTGCACATATTTATGTGAAGCAAATGGAAACCTCTTACAGAAATATTTACTGTAATACTCATTTTTAAATTGTAGATCATTAGACATTTAAGGTGAATTCTGTTTTCTTCAATATACCAAAGTACGGAAGAATAGATTCCTGTAGGGGAAAAGCCTACATGTCAACAATGTGATATCTTATGCAATCAATTTTAAAACTACTTAAAAAATTGATACAAATAATGTCACAGACGTACTTAAATACTTAGGAAATAGATGAAGCAGGCGAGTTAAGGTAAGTTAATTATCAGTCAATGGCTTACTTTGGTACTACGCATATTTATGAAAAAAAGTACCTTGATGAAGTAAAGTTGTGTTTTTGTGTGAGCCGGTGTGACTAAAGATGAACATAGGGGTTTGGGCCGCGCCGGGCAAAAGGTTAAAAGCATCAGACATTCTGCTACATGTACCACTAGCCCTCCACCGCTGGGTCGCGTATTCGAGACTTACATGTAGATGGGGCAGTCGCAAGGGTGATTTTTCTCCGGGAACTCCGGCTTTGCTCCTCCTCCAAAACCTGGCACGTCCTTAAATGACCGTAGCTGTTAATAGGACGTAAAATACAAACATACCAAAATGATTATGGGGTTGTAGCATGTATACTGTAGCTTGCCATCATTCGCGTGTGGAAAGGGTCGTGTTGTCACTCTCAACTTTCCGTGATGTGAAAAAAAATCGTTGGCAACAGTTCTGAAATCTTTATATTCTAATTATCTATAACTTTTTAATTCTACAAATGAATATTCGTCCTTGGATATTATCGAGTGAAATTTTACTCAATAGGAAAACGGGAACATTTCAACACCACGAACATTTCTATTTTTACAGTAACAATGTCCTTTACCGCTGGATCCCTATTTTGTTTGGTTGTTGTAATGTGTATATTGTATTTTATATTGCTTATGCGAATTCAAATAGGACTGCGAAGTTAATATTTACCACGTGTATGTATGCTAACAGGCCTTTTCTCACAGATATAGCGCCGTCGTCACGAGAGGAAGCAATCGATATATGAGCCATGCTGACTAGATTTACGCTCTCTGTTAACTTCATTTCAAGGTAAAAATGATGACACGTCTGCATGAATTCATTAAAACAGATATTGCTCTTCAAAAAACCTTTTGCATTCCTTTCCATCACAAATTTACTGGGTTGCTTGATTTGATAACTGTCGATAACGGACGGCAGTGATGCCGACGTAACACGCGTGCACCTATTAAACGCACGTAAAACGCGTGTACACAGCACGAGCGTCAAACTACAGTTATATCAATTTCTGAGTATGATGCATTACTTTGTTGATAAGACTGTAATTGGGCTGACGATCTCTCCCTTAGAACCTTAAGTTGTAACTCGCTTCATTGCACGTGCGACAATACCTGTTTTATAGATTGCAGGTTGAACATAAAATACTCAAATGTCTGTAATTAAGCGTCTACGGGAGACAAATATAGTATGGTAATTAAGAACGAATGACTCCAATGAAGGCCTTTGAGGGCATGAATAACCTTGATAGAGACGAGAGCGATGTTAAGTACCTCTTATCGTAGCATTTCAATGATGGAATCCGAAATAAATGGGTAAATTGTATGTGTTTTATGAACTAGTACACAACTACCAAGTTCAGGTTATAATAGCTTACGACCACACCATCAACCCAATGTTTAAACACATATATGGTTAAATGAAGAATAGTAACTATTAAAAACTAAATCAGGCGTGTATACCACACCTGAACAAAAGATACGCTAGATCTGCCTTAGCTGCTTAGCTGTGTATCTTATCAGCAGCATCAACAGCAATGATCGAAACTTTTATTGTGAACGCCAGACCGTAAAACACTATGTATGTAGAAAACCCACATCCAGGCCTATACATTTCTCACGCCGGAGCTGGAGCCTTATGGATTGGAGGAAGAGTCGGAGCATTATCAGCACTCAGACTCCGATCAGCTTTTAAAGCAAGACACATGTTGTGTCGGCTTTTCCTCCCATCATCGCATCGGCTTAAGCCAGAAGCAGTGTATCTAGCCCCGGAAGCTCATTGGCAACGTTGGAATGTTGGTGGCAGCCGTGGGGCGATCTCCCCGACACTGTCCACCTCGGGCGGACCAGGCGATATCCGAGTATATGAACAGGCCTGTATGATTCCTTTCATGCAATAAACTCCGATACTCCAACTATAAATGGAAACTACGCTCGTAGTATTGTCGGTATTGACTCGACCAATCAGATCGCGCGACCCAAGAATGAACGCCACGCGCTAATTAACAAATGGTATCTTTGAGCTTCCATCTGCTGGAAGATGAAAGTAGAACATAGTAGGTGTTAGTAGGTACTCACGCGAGGTTGTCTGTTGAATTGGTTCTCCACACAACACAAGTCAGTGGTGGGATATAGGTCAGACGGCCAGTGTGTTTCTACCTGTCAGTCGGCTGTCGGAAGTAACACGTGTACAAACTTCTCGCTCTTCAGGTGTGTCATGCGTTTGGAATAAAAGTGAGCATCAACTTTAAAGTTTCACACTGTTTCACAAAACCTTCAGAGACATGTGGGCGTTGGTCGTGTTGTCCCTCGGGGTGACAGTTATGTGTCTCCCGGGGGTCAGCCCTTATGGATCCGTGGAACAGAAGGATAGTTCCGTATGTCTAGGATGCCGTCTATTTAACATTTATGAGAATGATAGAAGTCACAACCGAAGAGCGGTAAGTACTCAAGTATACATCGGTAAAACTGTACCCCAATCTCAAATTCTTTTTTCAGTCGTCAATAACAAATCTAAAACGAATGCATCCCTTCTCACAAAGACAAAATCAATAGCTTTAGTGGTTTTTTATGTATACTTTTTTAAAGTTGGTTCTGTGGGCATATCAGATTTAATTATTAAGCGTAAGGTACCGGTACGTTTAAAATACTGTTTGCCGTTTAAGAATTTTGCACATACACATTTATCTATAATTTATACGTTTCGTTTTATGGAATAAATTGATCTCAACACTTTTCAATGTAATTCATGTTAAAAAGCTTTTAACATGTCTTCACCAAACTGTGGCCGACCTTTGTATGTAAATATAAAAAAAACGTGTATATTGCCCAATTCCCTGTGCGTTTGGATCAGACTATAGGTAAAATCGATCGTCAACAATCAATAGAAAGTGCCGTCTCGCATGTTACTGGCCATTCACCTTTGATTTACACTATACATTGTTAAACTCGTTGGCTTCTGAACCGCTCCTCTAGTTGTCGAAGACAACACCTTGTCTGGACGATATGAAAAAGTCCCACCGGACTAGTCATCTGGTACAGATCGCGTACAAATCTCGTGGGCGGACACGTTACTACGACTGAAGACTCTTACTTCCGATCGAAATTCAGCAAACTTCATCATTTAGGCGGAGGCGTGTCCAAGAATGGAACAAATTGCCATTCTTTTATTGAGTTAACACCAACGCTCGATGGCGAATTATTTAGTTCAAATACACGATTTGACATTTCAAGGGCATTTTGAATAACTAATTGCTAGGTACATCGCTGTACATTTTAATTTAAATATAATTTTAAGGTTATTGAGAATACGTTATTCAGAAGTAAAATGTGAGATTTATTCCCATAGAGTTCAATACTATCCATAATTAAAAATACCTGAGTGAAGTATACACATTTTCATATATAAAACTCTTGATATTCAAGCGCAGCTACATTTATTCATGTACCTGTACCAGGTGTAAAATACAAAACTTTCTTTCAACACATGTTTTACAAAATTTCATTTAATATCTGGCCTATCCTAGACCATTCTATACATGTATTTGTTGTAAACATATGAACAACTTCAAAGTACAAAGTTACTTTTACAAGATGTAAGACGATTAAGCTTACACCCATACTATTTGTAAACCCTGCCAACACCTATTATACAATTAATGAAAACAAGAAAAAAAAATCCGTTTCCGTGTTAATGATATTGCGTTCTTGTTGGCCACATGAATGGCATCACGCCCTTATTTCCCATAAGCAAACAACGAGAATATTATGAATTGGTTGCCATCATATTTTACCGTACGCTAAAAGAACGACGAACATAGGGAAGTGAGTTATTGTGCACGCAACGCTATTCTAAACTTTTACCGATGCGGGAATCAGTCCGGCCTGATCAACCATTTGACGATGGCCATGTCCTGTCCATCTGATGTTACACGAGCCGATGTTTGTTTACTCTAAAACCTGATGAAATACACCGATAATCTGTATGGTATAGCTACCAATAAATCAAATTGTCAGTATCCATTACTGCTATCTAAACATTTTGTTTAACAAGATCGATGTTCTATGGGACACATTATATGTTGTAAATGGCGTCATCGGGGCGAAAACCCCTTTATCACAAGAGAAATGGACATTCAGCATCACCCCCACCCTCCGTAGTTTGTTAGCAACCATACCAATAGAAATACCAAAACAAGATTTTAAAACAAAGTATGCAGATTGATTTTATGAATATATTTGTGTGTATCTGGTATTTAATATTTGAAAAAAAGTCTTAGAAATTCAAGCAAAATATTGGTTTATAACCAACATTGATCATTTAAAATTACAATATCGAGGAAAAGTTTTCCTTCGATATTAATGAATATAGATACTCGTTTCAAGTCATTGGCTTTTCTTTGAGCTGATACAACACCTGCATTGAAAACCGCAATTAATGATCAAATGACTTGTAAGTGCATCATTAAACAACAAAGTTCATACAGGAATAATCTTCGTAAATGTCTAAAGCATTCATTTACACTACTTACAACACTGACATCTTGATTACCGCACCAGCGTTCTTCATTACACGTTTATGTTTAATACGAAACAAGTTAATTCTTCGTTAATTCCACATTATTTAATTTATATTGTCACATATTTCTTACTGCCAGATGGTCGTTTTCAGATGCTGAGCAAAACCATGTGAAACAAGATTAAATTTTACAGAGAAATGATTATTCTACATGTATTTCATTGCTTTGTGCATTTTTTGTGTATGGAACATGATTATATTTCTTTACTAAGAGACGTTTGCATAGTATTACATTTTCGAAAAATCGCAGAGGGTTGCTGTTTTCTATTACTACATTACCGCCATTTGCTCTTCGATGTATGTTGTGACACTTTTCGATTCATTTTATTTACACTGTATATCTAAATTGTAAATGCCGTAGATATCTAGCAACCTTAAAGCAAGACACATTTTAAATATTATCTTACTCGCTGATTGTTTAAATCACCAGAAAAAAAAACCTGCTACAATTTGATTGGAAAATATAATTGAAAGTTTAATTATTGCACGGACTTAATTAATAGTAAGCAGTGTTTTTTTAATTGTCGAATGTCTACTGGAAAAAAACAAATCAGGGCCTAGATCTTGTTTACATACTCGTCAGTATTCATTTCACCTTTAAGAACATTGTTCTATTTTAGCTGTAACATCAGACGGTCTGTCATTGATAAATAACATATTAATATATAGAGCATGCGTCTTTTAATTATAAAGACGGCAAAATAATTCTTCATGTTGTGCAACGCAACACTAGCGAGCGACCTCATACATAAGTGTAACTTTTCATTGTTGCTCTATGATCATGTTGTAGACTTTTGATCTAATATTGCCTTTTAGATTGTGTATGAGTGTTCCATTATGCATGGATATTAAAACCCATGCGGGTTTTCTCTAACCAGAAATAAACCTATCGGCCCCGTATTATGCGAAATATTAACACTATTTGCAAAACGATGTAGAAAGGCGTTAGGTGATTACACTATAACGTAATTCTTCTCTTTACGCTCAAGCTGTTGTGAGTTTAAGACGAGACCTAAGCTTTTTACTAACCCTTCTCGTATAATATAATTGATATCAAGGTTGCGAAAAACAGATATAGTGATGACCATGTCGAGAGTTTTAACTAATTAAACTCGCAAAAGAAAGATAGATGGCAATGCTGGCTTCCTTGTCGAACAATCTCAGAAACACGACTGCTGATAACGCCAGGTACCTTGGCTCAAACTTTCACGCATACAAGTAATGCCAGTTCAGTGTTCTTTTCGCTGTATACTCACTCCGATGAATGTTATTGTTATATAAACGTTCCCCAACGAGTAATGGCTGGTTATCATGTTGATCTAACCCGAGTTAGTTAATTTTCCAAATGCATAAAGTCACGATGTTTAGGTAAACATTACGTTTATATTTCATCGGAAAAAAAACCACACGTTTCCATTGCGAAATATTCTTTTCCCTTATCGACGAGGAAAACAATTACTATGAATCATTGCTATCAAAATGGAAGATGACGTCGCAAAGTACTATTACATGACGTCATAATTAATATATTGACTAATGAAATAACGTTCTGGGTGTTACCCAAAAGTGGGTAACCAAAATATTTACCAACTTCTAGTGTGTTTATCCAATGAGTCATGAGTGTGGAAACTTATAATGGTTATGGAAGGAAATCTCTTTAATCATACTCCAATCCTCCCCTGATGCCTTTGTAACGTTATTGTTGCGTTATACTCACACCAGAAGTGAAATAAATAAGATGATTCCTTTGCTATATAGGCACATCACCGAGCAATGTCAGTGTCATTTCCTCATAGATTTCAACTTAAACCAATTTGTTATCTCTCTCACACGATTGACGGGGGTGTTCATTGTCTTGGGTGTTCTCTAGGACGCCCGCTGCCAGTTTTAGGCAACCTGATTTACCCTTTCACACTGTTGATGTGAGTTTTAGTAGGTGCCTTGGTTTTCACTCTCATAACACTGTGATGTCAATGTTGTTCTTGTTTTACATTCATTATTTAAAGCAACGAGTGAAAACTCTCATACACCAAGAGTGATGTCAATGATCGACTACTGGCTTACGCATATCATAAAATGGAGCGATGCTACTTGGAAAGTGGTTGAATTACTTTAAATATTGTTCGCGCCTGGTTATGGTGTTTGGTTTATTTTCCCATAAAAGACATATTGTGTTAAGGAGAAATCCTTTGCTTAATGCCTTACATAACAAGGGTGATTTCGATGATTTGGAACTTTATTAGCAGATGATGATTATGATTGGGTAATCCATAACATACAAGCAACTAGAGCTGTATCAGACTCGGAGCCCCTGGGTCCTTTAACAAAACATCATAACTCCTTATACTGGAATCCCGTGTTTACAATTTCCCAACGCAAAACTACAGGTATATGTGTAAGAAGCTCTACCTGTACTGGATCCTGTTTGAAGTCACTGTATTGCACGTAATGACATGATGCACTTACAAACTAAATTTAAGCGAAATCGGTCAAATCATATGATTATTTGCCTCCGAATCTCATGCAATCTCGGAGGCCGTGACGGCCATATTGGACGAGCAGAGGACAAAACAAACGTGTCATTTCTCATTTCATTTTAATTAACCTTGTAGTTTCTGAGAACTGTGCTGGCAAGCTCACGGCGGGGGAAGAAGAGGAAATAGAGAAGAAGAACAAAAAGGATAAAATCAATACGTATTTTTTTGGACCTAATGAAAAGGTTTTCGAGCTTTTGGTTTACCGCGTCACTCCACGTTTGGAGGCAGGTGCTGACGGCTTACCGCCTTCCTCTTTGATCAATTATATTACCCCTCTCAAATTGGATTATCCCTCCCAAAATAGAAGTAATATCATGATTCACTC